CAGCTACAGGATTAGGCTGATGATGTCCTAATAGAGATAGCCTGGTTATGATTATCCATAGTCTAGTAATATTCCCTAAATCCAGTGTGAATCAATGACAACTATTTACTAGGAGGCATTCTTATATGTAAGGGAACCTCTATCTGTCTGAATCTTGACCTTTCTTCTTTTGCATCCTCCTCTTCAGGGGTTGCACACCACACAAGGCAAACTTATCCCCCAGCTAAGGAAACGGTGGAGTAACCCAAAGATGCGATGAGATTAATGCCATTATTGACACATTATCCAACGTGCTTCAATCCTATAATGTTTCTGCAGAGCTGGCACTCAACAATGATATGTTGACACACCAATCACAACAATAAAAATAAAATAGAATTATTGTACGGAAGATTATATTGAAGGATGGCTTTGGGGGTAATTCGTATTAGGCCAGCTTTGTCTGGCGGCTTTGGAGATACACGAGGTAAGACATTGAGACATGTTCTAGGTAGACTGCCTACGTTGGGTTGTGTGATTCAGGAGGAGGGCAACAGTGTGGTGTTGATGTAGAACCAAATGTTTACCAAATGGTGGGCAGTCCCACAACACCTATTTGGAAGCCCTTGATTCCCTCCTGGACAACATTACCAAAAAATATTTATATATATCTTCTTTTTCTCATTCAGCATGTGCCCTCTGAATACCCATTGATTAGAATTACAGTGGCACATATATTTTATCTCATTTGTTGTTACTATATAGGGGGGGAAGAGAGACGAAAGAACCCTCGATGCAACTCGCTGATAATGGCAACTGATTTAGATTTCTTTTTTATCAAAACAACCCTTTCAGCAACACTGCATTGCTACTAAGTACAAGGTGGTGTTTGATTAAAACGGGCTACCTACCTACGCTTGGAAAAGTTCTTTCAACACGTTCCATTCTGACAGCAAAAGGAAAACAAGAGAGGAGCACAAGGTAGAAAGGACAGCTGTGGAGGTGGCTTTGGTCCCACACACCTGGTCCAATTAGATCATCTGGCTCAAATACAGTTTATAATTACAACGCTGGTGCCAGCAGCAACATGCAGTCTTAAAAAAAAAATGGGATGGAAAAATGAATTTTGGAATCTAACAAAAATGTCCAAGCTGGAATATAAATATTTTTCGGTAATGTTGTCCAGGAGGGAATCAAGGGCTTCCAAATAGGTGTTGTGGGACTGCCCACCATTTGGTAAACAGAAAAAGAACCTCTTCTGATTTAAGGCAGAGGGCTGGATAGTATGGTAAGGTTACCAGACGTCCCCGTTTTCCAGGGACAGTCCCCAGATTTACAAATCAGTCCCCTGACAAAATCCATCTATTTAGTAGGAAATTGAAAAGTGTCCCTGGATTCATTGAAAAAAACCTGGTAACTTTATAGTATGGGAGCAGGCGATCCCTCGGGTATTCTGGGCCTGGTGATAACTGGGCATGCTAGGTAGGTGCAGAATACAGAGTCATTTGGCAAAGAAAGTCTAGAATGGGGGATGGAATCAGCTAGCTAGGTGGAAGTGGAGGCTGGACATGGTTGCAATAATAGCCCAAGAAGCTTTCAATGCTGCTTGAGTAAGCAAGACTCAACTAAGAGAAAGCAAGGAGTTCAAAAGGTGAGGAAAGTGCAAGGTGGATGGTTAAATCTCTGTGGCATCTCTTCCTCTCTTGCCCTTTGCTCCGTTTCTCTCCTTTTCCTTTCTCTTATGAGAAAAATGAGCAAGCAATGGTGGAGGAAGAGACAGAGACACCCTAGTCGGTGCTTTCCTGCTCCACACTGAGAAGCTGTTTTTAAATGTCCCCAAGGGACGGAAGTGAGAGCTGTCCATATCAATGAATGGAGAAATCCAAAATTTAACCATAGCTGGGAGTGGGCAGATGTGTCCACCCCAAGCCCCCCAAAGTACAGAGCTGATTATAGAGCTTGCCTTCGATTCTTATTTAGTCTGAAACATTTATGTAACCTTTGCCAGTGCAAACGCCAAACGAAATGCCATTCATTGGCCCTGTGTTGCAGATTAGAAGGAGCTGTGGTTGGGAGTGAGTGTCCTACGCTAGACCTGCAGCGCAGTTCTAAATGGAAGCCGCAAGGTCAGGCTCCAATTTTGCAACAACCTGGTGGCGTTGTCTAGAGGTATTAGGCCCCTATTGCAGAGGGAGGGTAAGTGTTATAGCTCAGTGGCAGAGAATCTGCCTTGCATGCAGAAGGTCCCCTGTTCAGTCTTGAGCATCTCCAAGATAGGGCTGGGAGAGACTCCTGCTTCAAACCCTGGAGAGCTACTGCCTGTCAGTGCAGACAATATTGTGCAATATGGACCTGTGGTCTGACCCAGTGCAAGGCAGCTTCCTCTTTGGGGCTGAAATACAGCAGCAGCAGCGACAACAACAACAGCAACCCTATGGCACTGTCTATTGTTTTCTTCCCCACATCTCAGGTTGGGCTGAGAAAATGTATGCATAAGAAGCTGAGTCAAAACCATGGCCCATCTAGTCCAGTATTGTCTATTGGCAGCAGCTCTGCAGGGTTTCAGGCAGGGAATCTTTCCCAGCCTTACCTGGAGATGGTGGGGATGGAACCTCAGGACCATCTGCAATCCCTAGAGAGACCCCTGTCTGAAACCCTGGGGAGCGATTGCCAGCCAGGGTAGCATATACCGTACTGAGCCAGATGGATCATTGGTTGATGATGCCTAAGTATGATATCCGAGACTTCCCAGACCAGTAAGGAAGGGAGAACAAGGGTGTGTAGAGGATGTCAAGCGATCATCCCTTGTGGAGTTCAAGGCAAAGGGATGGTGGTATTCATTGGAGCAGTCCATTGCCACTTTTAATAAATTCCTTCTTCTCAACTTTATTCAATAATAATAATAATAATAATAATAATAATAATAATAATAAATTTTATTTATATCCCGCCCTCCCCAGCCGAAGCTGGGCTCAGGGCGGCTTAACAACAATAAAACAATACAAAAGTACAGCATAAACAACACTCTAAAATCATTCATTATAAAATTAATTCAGTGCTAAAATGTACGCTACACACACACACACACACACACACAGGATTAAGGGGTTGGCCATACCTGCTCTAATAAAAATAAAAATCCAAATTTGTTGGGTTGCTGTTTTTTAATTCAGCACAGAAGGGACTTTCTCATTTTCACCACAGTGCAACGGAAGCTTTTTCTTCAGCGACTTAAGACGGCTGGAATTTATTGTCTTAGTGCAGCTTAGGGATTTTTTTTTTTCCAAATACCTGTTTTATACAAAGGAATTGAGCCCTGCTGGTTCTCTGTCCATTAAATGCAAACAGTACCTGAACAGCGGCTCGGCATAATTCAGCTAAATCACAATATTCTCATAATCATGCCGTGAGCATCTTTTGTGTCCCAGACATTAATGGCTTGTTCTTCTTGGCATTCAAATAAAAGCCATTACCAGCATGGCATCCCGTGGTCTTCTTTTCAGATTGTCATCACATTCATTATCCTCTGTTTAGATTTTGGAAACTGAATCGAGCAATGCCTTTTCATTACCGACCATAATAACTGAGAGGGGGGCAAATGGTCACGTTCCCAGCTCTTGTTTATCAATTAAGGCTTTTATTGGAGAATGTCAGCAATCATCCATGCAAAGTGGAATACTAATTCCATTCACTACTTTTCTGGGACACCCTAACGCTTGTGTGTGTGTGTGTCGGTGCCTTTCAGCTGCTTGCAGGCTGAAGTACATCTTGTTAACAAGGATAATCTCTTTGTTTTTAATGTGATATTAATGAATTCATGAAACAAGATAGTGGTAACAATACTTGCCATGAAAGTATTCTGAAATCTTAATCTGATGTATTTAATTAAACAGGAAGGAAATGTCTCTTCAATTAAGCTATGTCAGTTTCCTGTCTCTTCTGAGTACCTGTGGATAAATTCCACACAATTCTTTTATTGTCTGGATTCATGGAGGAGAAACACTTGAGCAGCTACACAAGGCATGAATAACTTCCATACCACCATCAACATGCTTAGACTCGTCCATGCAAGAGATTCACTTTCTGGACAATTACTGTGCAGTTGCGTGATGAAATACAACTGACCGCTTTATACACTTACATGCCTCCAGCTTCCACCACAAAATCAATCCTCTACAGCCAAGCCCTATGAATGTTGAGTTTCATTGGACAAAGATCCACGGCTTAAGAATTTACATTATTTGTCAAACTACAATACTCATGCAAGGAAGTGAAAAAGATGAACAAATCCGAACTGGCACCCAGGATCAGCCAAATACAGGAGCAATCTAGAAGAGAAAACCATGATGGAACACAATTTGTTGCTGCTTATAGTTCCCAGCTAAAATTAAATGTTTCATCAATGACAGAATGACTCTTCCCACTCACAAGCCTTGCGCGGCGATATAAGAAGTGTTAAGAGGTGATATAACAGGCAACATAAAATTATGAAAGTGGATAGAGAAAAGGTTTTGTCCCTCTCTTTTAACACGAGAGCTCATGGGCACCCAAGGAAACTGGATGTTGAAAGTCTCTGGACAGACGAAAGAAATCATCGTATTTTTCGCTCTATAAGACGCACCCGACCACAAGACGCACCTAGTTTTTAGAGGAGGAAAACAAGAAAAAAAATATTCTGAATCAAATGTTGTACTAAACTATTTAATAAACAACCAAAGGGTTTCATCAGGATACCCTGAACCTTGAAGATACTTATATCGCACCCCCACCCCACACACATCCAAGGAAGCTGCTAGGTAGGAGATCAGGACAGGCAAAAGGAAGAACTTTGCACAGTGTATGTTTAAAAGACAGAACTTGCTGCAAGACTGAGCGACAGCTACTAGCTTGGGTGACTTCAAAAGGGGATTAGACAAATTCCTGGAGGATAAGGCTATCAATGGCTACCAGTCATTATCACTATATGGTACCTGCAGAATTAGAGGCAGCATGCCTCTGGATGCTTCCTTCACATGAGAGGCACTGCACAGAGAGGGAGAGCTGCGCAGCACCCCTTCAGCGAAGCTGGAGGAGGAACAGAAGGGGTTCCGTTCCCCCTCCCGCTTCGTGGGAGAGGTGCTTCGCTGAAGGGGCGCTGCACAGCTCTCCCTCTCTGCGCAGTGCCATTCGCTCCATAAGACGCACTCACATTTCCCCTTCCCAGTGTGGTGTAGTGGTTAAGAGCGGTAGACTCGTAATCTGGGGAACCGGGTTCGCGTCTCCGCTCCTCCACATGCAGCTGCTGGGTGACCTTGGGCTAGTCACACTTCTCTGAAGTCTCTCAGCCTCACTCACCTCACAGAGTGTTTGTTGTGGGGGAGGAAGGGAAAGGAGAATGTTAGCCACTTTGAGACTCCTTCGGGTAGTGATAAAGCGGGATATCAAATCCAAACTCAAATCCAAACTCTTCTACTTTTTAGGAGGAAAAAAGTGCGTCTTATGGAGCGAAACTTCTTCACACGGGGAAACTTTGTCCCACAAGAATACCCATAAATTGGCATTAATGATCAGTGAACTTCTGAGTAAACAAATATATCTTCAGTTGCGGTCAGAAACATCCCACAGTCAGTGCTTGCTTGATGTTTTGGGAGGATCATTCCACAGGCATTTCTTTGCATCCCCTCAAATGTTAGTAAGGTACTTACTATCTGTGCAGTCACACCTTGGAAGTTGAATGGAATCCGTTCTAGAAGTCCGTTCGACTTCCAAAATGTTCGAAAACCAAAGCACGGTTTCTGATTGGCTGCAGGAAATTCCTGGAGCCAATCAGAAGCCGCGGAAGCCCTGTTGGATGTTCGGCTTCCAAAAGAACGTTTGAAAACTGGAATAGTCACTTCCGGGTTTGCGATGTTCGGGAGCTGAAACGTTCGGGAACTAAGCTGTTCAACTTCCAAAGTACGACTATACTTGACTGTACTATTCTGCATTTCATTTCCATCTCACCTTTATAATCCCCCCGCCAAACCATGTTCATATACATGTATGTCATATATGTGATGCTTCATGCATCTGGAGAAGTGGACTGTAGTCCCCAAAAGCTTATGCCATTGTGAATTTGTTAGTTTTTAAGGTGCCACAAAACTCTTTCCTGTATCTGGAGGTAGAAATAATATCCTTATTCTTCCTTCCACCAGAAACTATTAGACATCCATGGGTGAGGCTGCTTAATGCTTTGGCCTTTACATTTGCTTTATTTGAGGATGCCACATGTCAGAACTCATTTCCTATATTTGGCCTGCTACCATAAATGCTTGGACCCAAACTCTTGTGATTCATAAACGATGGTTCTTTCTGCATTTTCTTCAGACGGATGTCCTTGTTCTGAAAGCTCAGAATACCTCACAGCTCAGCAGTTTGGTCGCATGACTTTTTTCCCCCACCCTCCTGCATCCTTCTTGTAAAAAAATGGGGAAGAAAAAGTATTAATTCTGAGCAGCTGGCAAACATAGTGAGAGACTTGATTATCCAGTTGGCACATTTATTAAAGAGAAGCTAGGTGGATTATTTTAATATAGCCACATGGCTAGGACCTCAAAGCATTCTTTCTACTCCCTAATGCCAACTTTGTTTTGAAAAGAGAATAAAGATACCTTAAGCCAGCCTTCAGATAGATACCTTAATAAAGATACCTTAATAAAGATACCTTAATAAAGATACCTTAAGCCAGCCAGAGCTGCTGCCGCTCTGCCGTGAGTTTGTGGGGAGGACCGCTCCCCCCTGAAGCCCTTTTTCCACCTTGGGCCTGGGGGCGGGCCCCATACTCCACCACAGCATATAAGGCTCCTAGGAGGCCTCGGGACATCGCTGCTGCCGCTCTGCCGTGAGTTTGTGGGGAGGACCGCTCCCCCCTGAAGCCCTTTTTCCACCTTGGGCCTGGGGGCGGGCCCCATACTCCACCACAGCATATAAGGCTCCTAGGAGGCCTCGGGACATCGCTGCTGCCGCTCTGCCGTGAGTCTTGGGGAGGACCGCTCCCCCCTGAAGCCCTTTTTCCACCTTGGGCCTGGGGGCGGGCCCCATACTCCACCACAGCATATAAGGCTCCTAGGAGGCCTCGGGACATCGCTGCTGCCGCTCTGCCGTGAGTCTTGGGGAGGACCGCTCCCCCTTGAAGCCCATTTTCCACCTTGGGCCTGGGGGCGGGCCCCATACTCCACCACAGCATATAAGGCTCCTAGGAGGCCTCGGGACATCGCTGCTGCCGCTCTGCCGTGAGTTTGTGGGGAGGACCGCTCCCCCCTGAAGCCCTTTTTCCACCTTGGGCCTGGGGGCGGGCCCCATACTCCACCACAGCATATAAGGCTCCTAGGAGGCCTCGGGACATCGCTGCTGCCGCTCTGCCGTGAGTCTTGGGGAGGACCGCTCCCCCCTGAAGCCCTTTTTCCACCTTGGGCCTGGGGGTGGGCCCCATACTCCACCACAGCATATAAGGCTCCTAGGAGGCCTCGGGACATCGCTGCTGCCGCTCTGCCTATGAGTCTTGGGGAGGACCGCTCCCCCTTGAAGCCCATTTTCCACCTTGGGCCTGGGGCGGGCCCCATACTCGCCTCCGCAGCTTATGGGGCTCCAGGGAGGCCTCGGGTGTGTGGGGTGGGGTGGGTGTTTAGTTGGGTGTGGGCATTTGTTTAATTTAATTATGTTGTGTTTGTAACTTTGTTTTTTGTTTTTATAGTTTTATTGTTCTGTTAGTTTGATTTTTGTATAGGCTTTAATTTGATTTTAAGGGGAGGGGTCAGGGCTGCCTGGGAGTGGGTCCCAGCAAACAAAATGGCTGGGGCAGGTTCCACAGGGGGGGATGCACTCGGACAACCGATCTCAGTGATCACGGGTAGGAGGAGGAGTTACGCTAAGACCAGACCATGTCATTACCGAGGAAGCAGGCTTAGTCGTTGTTTGAGGACTATCCCTGCCTCCAGGTCTGGTCCTGACCGGAAGGATACTGGAATCAACAAGGGAAACCCACATGACCTGAAAGTGTTGCTGTGCAATGCCAGGTCAATGATGGGTAAAACCTCTGCCATCCACGACCTGATTGTGGATGGAGGATTTGACCTGGCATGTGTGACAGAGACCTGGCTGGATGAAGCAGATGGGCCCGTCCTTGCCGCTGCTTGTCCACCAGGTTTCTCTTACGCACAGCAACCCAGGCCTTGTGGGCGGGGAGGGGGGGTTGCAGTGATTTTTAGGAAGTCATTAGTTTGCACCAGGCGTCCTATTGGAAAGACCCAGTTCTCTGAGTGCATGTTCTGGAAGTTGGGCAATAGGGGCAGTACAGGATTCCTATTGGTGTACCGACCTCCCCGCTGCACCAAGGATTCCCTGCCCGAGCTGCTTCAGGTCGTGGCGGATGTCCTCCTGGAGACACCTAGTTTGGTTGTCCTAGGGGACTTTAACATCCATGCCGACACGACCTTACAAGGGGCCGCTCGGGACTTCGTGGAAAGCATGGCCTCCATGGGGCTGTCCCTGAATAAGTCTGGCCCAACTCATAGCCACGGGCATGCCTTAGACCTGGTGTTCACCTCTATGGATGTTGGTGATCTGACATTAAGTAAAAGCGAAACCAAAGAAGTGCCATGGTCAGATCACTTCCTGGTGCAACTGGACTTCTCCGTGACCCTTCCCTCTGCAGGGAGGCGGGACCGATTCAGATGGTCCGCCCCGCCACTTAATGGATCCAAATGGTTTCCAGAGAGTGGTAGGGGATGTTTTATCCCATGTTGATGGCCTTTCAGCTGATTCCCTGGTGGCCCGCTGGAATGTGGAGTTAACCAGGGCTATTGACTGTTTGGCTCCAAAGCGCCCTCTCCGATTGCATGGAGTCCGGACAGCCCCGTGGTTTTCCACGGATCTGAGGGCAATGAAACAATCGTTGAGACGGCTAGAGCGCCGGTGGCGGATAACCCATTCTGAATCTGACCGGACACGGGTTAGAGCTCAATGTCGAGCCTACCAAGTGGCGATAGCGACGGCGAAGAAGACTTTCTTCACCGCCTCTATTGCATCTGCGGAAAACAGCAGCAGGAGACTCTTTCAGGTGGTTCGCAATTTAGCGGAACCACCTGCTCCATCAGGGCCCAGTAGCGGCCACATGATCTCCTGCAATGACTTTGCAAAGTTTTTTGCAGATAAAGTCGCTCAGATTCGAGAAGAGGTAGACTCCACCGTGGGAGCAGGGCCGGGGCGGGAGAGTGCTAGAGTCCTGTCTAGTCAAGTTGTGTGGGATCAATTCCAATCTGTTACCCCCGAGGATGTGGACAGGCTGCTTGGACGAGTGAAACCAACCACTTGCCTCCTTGATCCTTGCCCATCCTGGCTTATAAAAGCTAGCCGGGAAGGACTGGGCGATGGGCTTCGTGGGGTGGTGAATGCTCCCCTCCGTGAGGGAGCCTTCCCAGACCCGCTGAAAGAGGCGGTTATTAAACCGCTTCTTAAAAGACCATCTTTAGATGCGGCCACAATAGCCAACTATCGCCCAGTCTCAAATCTTCCATTCTTGGGCAAGGTGATTGAGCGAGTGGTTGCTGAACAACTCCAGGCACGCCTGGAAGAAGCGGACCATTTGGATCCCTTCCAGTCGGGATTCAGGCCTCATCATGGGACTGAAACTGCCTTGGTCGCACTGGTTGATGATCTCCGGCGGGCTAGGGACAAAGGTGAGAGCTGTTTCCTAGTTCTGCTGGATCTCTCAGCGGCGTTTGATACCATCGACCATAACATCCTTCTGGACCGTCTTGAGGGGCTGGGAGCTGGGGGCACTGTTATACAGTGGTTCCGCTCCTTCCTCCTGGGCCGTGTTCAGAAAGTGGTGGTGGGGATGAGTGTTCAGACCCCTGGGCCCTCACTTGTGGGGTGCCTCAGGGTTCTGTCCTCTCCCCATGCTTTTCAACATCTACATGAAGCCGCTGGGAGAGATCATCAGGGGATTTGGGCTGGGTGTTCATCAGTATGCAGATGATACCCAGCTCTATCTCTCCTTCAAATCAGAACCAGTGAAGGCAGTGAAGGTCCTGTGTGAGTGCCTGGAGGCGGTTGGAGGTTGGATGGCGGCTAACAGATTGAGGTTGAATCCTGACAAGACAGAAGTACTGTTTTTGGGGGACAGGAGGCGGGCAGGTGTGGAGGATTCCCTGGTCCTGAATGGGGTAACTGTGCCCCTGAAGGACCAGGTGCGCAGCCTGGGAGTCATTTTGGACTCACAGCTGTCCATGGAGGCACAGGTCAAATCTGTGTCCAGGGCAGCTGTTTACCAGCTCCATCTGGTACGCAGGCTGAGACCCTATCTGCCTGCGGACTGCCTCACCAGAGTGGTGCATGCTCTGGTTATCTCCCGCTTGGATTACTGCAATGCGCTCTACGTGGGGCTACCTTTGAAGGTGACCCGGAAACTACAACTAATCCAGAACGCGGCAGCTAGACTGGTGACTGGGAGCGGCCGCAGAGACCACATAACACCGGTCTTGAAAGACCTACATTGGCTCCCAGTACGCTTCCGAGCACAATTCAAAGTGTTGGTGCTGACCTTTAAAGCCCTAAACGGCCTTGGTCCAGTATATCTGAAGGAGCGTCTCCACCCCCATCGTTCTACCCGGACACTGAGGTCCAGCACTGAGGGCCTTCTGGCGGTTCCCTCACTGCGAGAAGCCAAGTTACAGGGAACCAGGCAGAGGGCCTTCTCGGTAGTGGCGCCTTCCCTGTGGAACACCCTCCCACCAGATGTCAAAGAGAACAACAACTACCAGGCTTTTAGAAGACATCTGAAGGCAGCCCTGTTTCGGGAAGCTTTTAATGTTTGATGTATTATAGTATTTTAATATTCTTTTGGAAGCCGCCCAGAGTGGCCGGGGAAGCCCAGCCAGATGGGCGGGGTATAAATAATAAATTATTATTATTATTATTATTATTATTCAAAAGACTGAAGTCCCTTTCTTTTATGAGTGGCATATATGACCATCGAGATGAAGTGTGTGTACTTGTGTGCATTAGTTGGGAGATTTTTATCCTTGCAAGCTTAATGCGTTATATAGTATGGTTTGTAGTTACCATCATTTTCCTTTTTAATTCTCTATTCCCATCTCTTTCTCTTCCCTTAAAACGGATCACTGTTGTGGTGCTGGAATTCTTAGGAAGATGCGGATGCACTGAATGGACCACATAGACCAGGGGTCAGCAACCTTTTTCAGCTGTGGGCAGGTCCATCGTCCCTCAGGCCATGTGTTGGGCCGGAATATAATTTTGGGGGAAAAATGAACGAATTCCTATTCCCCACAAATAACCCAGAGGTGCATTTTAAATAAAAGCACACATTCTACTCATGTAAAAACACCAGGCAGGCCCCACAAATAACCCAGAGATGCATTTTAAATAAAAGGACACATTCTACTCATGTAAAAACACGCTGATTCCTGGACCATCTGCGGGCCGGATTTAGAAGGCAATTGGGCCACATCTGGCCCCTGGGCCTTAGGTTGCCTACCCCTGACATAGGCTCACTCAGTATAGGTGCACCCTCTTGACCTTTGAAGGGACCAGCACTGCAATGCTGAGTTGGTGTCGTAGAGAACAAAGAGATGGAATTAGTCGAGGCATCTTTCCTCACAACCTTCACAGAACAGTGCTGTCCATAGGAGCTGCAGTATATGAGCTTTTGTCAATGTGTTGGGGAGGATGACAGCACTGGGAGGGACTTGGTTCAGGTGCCTCTCTTCCTGTAACCTTTATGCTATGGCACCTGTTACTGCTGTAATATAACACGGCACCACAATGAGGGTGACCTTTGGTCCCTCTAGCATTGTTTATTCTGAGGAGCAATGATTCCCCAAGGCCTCATACAGGGATCGATGCCTGAGATGCTTGCAGCTGCTAGGAATTGAACTTGAGATCTTCTGCACGTGGCCCAAATCTAGGGTCAGCATCAGCTGTTGACCCACTGAAACATAAGGTGAGCCAGTAGAATACCAACCAGGAGATGATGCTACATGTTTTTTGACATAGCACAGCACTGTACCAAACTCCAGCCTTGATGTGTGCTGTCTACTCTTATGTGGCAATGTGACAAGGGATAACGTAGACAGTAGAGAGTGAGACTCTCGGGTCATGGGTTTGAGCCCCACATTGGGGCAAAAAAAATCCTGCATTTCAGGAGTTGGACTAGATGGCCCTTGTGGTCCCTTCCAAATCTACAATTCTAAGAAATGATCCAGCAATGTGGCAGACTGCATGGAAACAACCCCATCCTGCCTCTTTATTCAACTTTGCCCTAACAAAGGATGCCCTGTTTGTGAGTCTGAAGCAATCTGTGACTAGCAAGGATTCCCCACTCCTAATTCTTGCCTCAGGTTTTATGTGGCTTTGTTCTTTGTTTTGTTTTGTTTTGTTTTGTTGTTGTTGTTTTTTGCGTTTCCAGGTAAATGTGTTTAGAATTGGAGCTAACAGTTTATATTTCATATGCTCCTCATTAAAATGCCTACTGAGTGACCAGGTTCCCACACTTGTGGTGTAGAAGTTCATAATTAAGAGAGCTGGAAGGTTCTGGAAGGCTGGCAAAAAAAGTAAGCAACGTGTCTTTGCTTATTTATGTTTGTCGTAAGTCTCAAGGCAGCCTGATGTTTACAAGACAAGTTTGTAATGGGCAAATGGCTATTATGTGGCGTTGGGGAGGAGAAAATGATGATTGAGAGGTATTCTTAATTAAAATTAAAAGCTCCATTTGTGACATTTCACAGCTCTCTTCGTGTGTACGATGGGCACCATTGATTTTGAGGCAGATTGTTGAATTTCTTATCTCCAGCTTCTGATTGATCTCTTCAACATGTAACAAGCCAGAGTCCAGAGTGAACAAAGGGATTGTACATTTATACCGCTTAGCCCTTTTAAATTAAAAGAGAAAGAGAGCCCAAACCCTGGAGTAATGAAAGGAAACAATATATTCCATTTTAGATTATTGCTTTGGGTAGTAGGTCTTTTGCTGCTTTTGATGACAGCCTTTTGACATAATCACTAGTCAGCATAAAACTTGAAATTGCCCTGCAGACAGAATCATTCTTCTCTATTTTCTGTCACTCTGGAACCGCCTTTATTCATCTATCGGTGCAAGAATCAACAATTTCAGATTCCAGATAATAAAAGTAACTTGGACAATACTTCTGCTGGAAGGAAAGGAGAATGATGGATATATTTCCCCATATAACTAAGAATAGATAAGTCCTTTCTGTTCAACTATTTCAAGAAAAGAACAGTCTATGGTGTTCTCTTTTGAGCCTGGAAGAGCAAATCCGGACAAAAGAGACATGAGCTCAATCTACAGGCGTAGCAGTAAAACACAGAACAGGATAACATCCTTTTACAATTCACTAGGTTCAATACTTTCACATTGTTAAAGGCATTGTTGTTGCTGTTGTCATGTGCTGCGTGCATGACTGTCGCACCGGGACACCACATTTGCCTGCCAGGCTGTGGTGGTTTTTTTGTGGCATCTTCCCAATGCTGTGCAGTCCGGGACGACTTCCTTCGAGGCCTCTTCTGCCCCTCAAGATTTGGGGGGCTGAACCTCATCCCAGAAGACATGGGGGGCTGTAGAGGCCTGAGCCCCATTAGAATGGGTGTTCCTGATTGTCATTGTTATTATGGTAATGATTTATTGAATTTGGTAAATATGCTTTAAGCCCAGGGACTCTAAGCTTTGATCAGTCTTTGCTATCAGGGTTAATAAGTAAAAAGGGGTGGCTTCACTGCTCTCATATGAACAAGTATACTTATTTTCTTGGAGCAATGCCCTGTGTCTAGTAGGATGGAATTGCTTTCCAAAAGGTTGTGAGGTTGTGATCCTGTACCCACTTGCCTGGGGGCAAGGCCCATTGAACTCCATCCTTGAAGGTGTTTACAGTGCCTTTTACAGGTCAAAGACTCCCTGGGGCTGATGTTGTAACAGAACCTTCCTATATGTTGTTTTTATTCATTGTCATAAGGACAAGCTGCCCTGAGGCATTAGGCCACTCCGAGGCTTTTAAAAGTATGTGCCAGGACAAACATTGATTGGATGAATGAACAACATTTGGGAATGCACAGCTAGGCCAAGCAGCAACAGGCTGTAGTCCTGTGCATGCTTTCCTGGGAGTAAGGCCTGTTGAACATAAGGGAGAGCAAACGTGCATTGGGTTGTGTGTCTTTGATTTGACGCTTGAACAAACAGAAGGATAGAGATATAGCAGCACAAGTAATCATTGCCTCAACCACCCCCTTTAATAGCTTCTCAAATAGCAACCTACAAAGTAATGCTAATAATGAGCCACTGATGAGCTCATCCAGATGCCTTTTTTTTTTTTAAGCCGTGCAACAAGAACCTCAAGCATCAACAACGAAAATTGATTAAGGATGGGGCTCCACTGTGTCTGCCTTACTCTCCTAATGAATGGTATTATCTATGCTGAAGACTTGCTTGTGAAGAGAGAGTTATGGCAGGGATGCTAAGAAACTTGTGTATGAGAGTCGACTGATCAAGCAGCCTCATGTTGAAGAGACCTTGCCCGCCCACCCCAAACACATGCCACAAAACTGGCAATGTCAAGTGTCTTGCTCTATGCTGAAGTGACCCTCGAGTCTAGAACAAATCATATTGAGACCCCTTGTGGCATAGTGCCAGCCTGTTATTTCATTATGAGTTTGTGGGTGCCAGAGTTTGTGAAGGCAAAACACCCCTAATTCCTGGATTTAGTAAGTGTTAGAATCAACGCTTGAAATATTAGGATGGCCTACCACACGCTGAAGTTAGCCTGCATGTCAAAAAACAGGCCAAATCAGTTTTTGCATGCTCAGATAATCGCTTGGGAGTGTCGCAGGACCCCCCCCCCCAATCATTCAGTTTGTACAAACTTCACACACACTCGCACTCACACACTACATACGCTACACTTCTGTTATAAATTCATAGAAAATCAACCATACATCGGATTTGCACTGTTCCACTTTTATTGTAGTCCATGAAGAAAGGACTACAAAATGGGGAAGGTTTGATACAGGGCAGCCATAATCCCTTGAGCATACCAGCACATACACAGGAGCCCTGCCCAGTTGCTATGCCAACCCTGATGGTCCTAGACAGAAGACCATCAAGATCACAAAGAACTTGCATATGGGAGTGGATTCAGCACGGACTGGAACAAAGGACAATAATCAGCTCTTCCCTCTGGGGGCAGGAAACTGCAAACTCCCCTCTGTCACCTGGAAAGTACTCATGGGGAGGGGGAAAGGGGGAACCAGCCAGGTGACAGGACACTCAGGGTACCACCACAACTCCTCCCTCAACCCCTCCTTTCTGTGATGAAGGTGTGATGTATCTGAGGGGTGGTCTTAGGTTACACCCCTTCTGTGATGTATGTATGATGTTTCAAGGGGTGGTCTTGATCTACAGGGTGGCAATTTCAAAAGTCTTTATAAGACCTGGCACACCATTTTTCTGGGTCCTTCCTCTCTCCTGCAAGTGAGGGGAGCACCCTGTTGCAACAGATCAATAAAGGCCAAGCCTACAGGCTGCTGTTTTGCTCCAAGTTATCCTGGTTGGTGTCTTTGTTTTTGTCCAAGGGAGCCCTCGGATTTTTCCGTTAACAGGAGAAGAGCTATCACAGAGAACAAACAGAACATAATGGGAGATTAACAAAGCAGATACTCTGGGCCGGACTGATGGATGGAGCCCTGCTTCCCAACTCTCCCACTGAGGCAGTCTGGTGGAATGCCTGCTCTGGGGTGACAGTTGAGGGAGATGAAATCTGACAGGGCTGGCCTGTCAGCCAAGCTCAACTGAGCTGGTTTTAATTTTTCTACATTGCAAATGGCTTCGATCTCTCGTTACGATGTGGCAGTATATAAATATAGTCGTTAACCAGTTGGCATCCGTCTGTCTCGAGAGACAATGGAGGAGTGTCCTTTTGAGGGTGAAGTCCCAATTGTTGGAAGGTTGCATGCGCTTGTTGTGGCTATAAAGAACCGATGTGGGAGAGACGTGTTTTGCTGCACCTGGGGCAGGTGAAGGCGTCTGGTTCTGCTGCTGCTGCACCATTGCTTCTCTCTGCATTCCTCTTTGTTATTTAAACAGACATCAGGTCTGACTTTCAAGTCCGCAGCTTTTTTTGCCTCCAGCTTCTAGTTCACATAACTCAACTCTCTGCCCTGGCCTTTTGTCTTTCTGACTAACAGACTGCTGAGGGAGAGAGGTCTACCCACTCGCCACTCCTTTTGTTCTCTTAAGGATCCATGTTTGTAGAGGGCCATTAACAGGCTGGTCTGGCTATCCCAACAATCAAATCCCTGCTGTATCTAAGAGTCAGAAGGGGGTGCTCAGCCTACCGCCCCCCCAACTCACAACAGTATAATAATGATACGTGAAAATGTAGTAGTGAGTTAACAAAATTTTAGGTTTTCATGCTTTCATTGAAAGCATTTTGGGGGAAAAGTTTGATGAAGGCTTTGTTTGTTCTCTGCAGAAGTTAAAGGATTGTGCTGAAGGCTTTTGGTAGTTCTATAGACTCAGCACTTCCGGACCAATTTCCATCCTTCAGTCACAATGGGATGGTTGGCTGGGGGGTGGAAAGGAAAGGATCGTGTGGCCTGACTTTCCCATCTGCCCTGCGACAGTCACAGAAAATACAGATCAGATTACAGCTCGTTATTCCATATTGTTTTTCTTCGGTGGGGAAAACACAACAATGATTTAGCTTCTGTCATAGCCATTGTGCGCTTGTGATTACAGATTCACTGCGCCTTGACGAAAGTTTCTTGAGGTTCTGCACGTCAGAAGCCTGGCTGCTCCCTGCAAAGCACCCCAAATGCTGGCACATTCTTGTATGGCTTTTGTACGGCTGCAATATTTCCTTGATTTCAAAGGAAGTTAAATGAGCTCCATTGTCAGGCAGGGGCGAGAGGCCTAAGAACAAGGCATCATATTTCGCAACAGTGTGATTTATTTCTCCTTGTGCCTGCTTTTAAATGGCAGTCCTTTCCTATTTATAATTCCGCTCGCTACTGTGCTAGTAATAGGCTCTCGCTGGGACGCCTTTGTTCCAGTCCTTAGCCCAGTAACAACATAAGTAAGTGGCTTGAAATTGTTTCACTCCAGCCCTCTGTTGTGGCCCCCATTTACACACACACACACACACACACACACCCCATACTTGCTTGCCTGGCTGCAATATAAAGAGCAGTGTGTGAGGGAAGGATGGCATTGGAGATGTTTGTCAAGTTGTGCCACCAATGCTGGGTATGGGGGACAGATGTCCAGGGTCTCACTCAGTGGAATGAGCAGCAGGGTCCCCCAATGCAGCAGAGATAGCTTGTCGTATTTTGAAGACAGCAAAGCAATGCACGTCAGCTTCTAAAGAGTCCAGAGAGTCTAAAGTTGCACCACTGTTTGGTGCCATCTTACAACTGTGGAAAGTGTGACATTGACACATGCAGTCTCACATGATTATTCTGCCCATGAGGTTTGCGGTACAGTCATACCTTGGTTTCCGAACAGCCTAGTTCTCAGACATTTTGGCTCCCGACAAATCAAAACCTGGAAGTGACTGTTCCAGTTTCTGAACATTCTTTTAGAAGCTGAACGTCCGACAGGGCTTCTGTGGCTTCCGATTCGCTGCAGGAGCTTCCTGCAGCCAATCAGAAGCCACACATTGGTTTTTGAATACTTTGGAAGTCAAACGGACTTCCGGAATGGATTCTGTTCGACTTCCAAGGTACGACTGTATTTGCACATACACCTCAGCGGTATGGGACTGCAATCTTGTTGAAGCGGTTCTCGTGCCATCACATATGTTTGTGAAGAGGTGAGTACCTTATTTTGCTCATGGTCCCTCCTCTCTTTCCATATTGTGTAAAGCAGGGTTGAGGTTCCCTGGTAGAACATCTGCCTTGCATGCAGAATGCCCCGGGTTCGATCCCTGGCATCTCCAGGTAAAGATGGGAATGTCACCTGCCTGAAACTCTGAAAAGCTACTTTTCCTCTAATCAGGGCCAGATTTAGGTTTGATGAGGCCCTAAGCTACTGAAGGTAATGGGGCCCTTTATATGTCCAGCTGTCCTTTGTCAACAAAAAATTGCCGCTAGTTTTTTGTGTTGAATACATGCTGCATGGTAATTTATGGACCTAATAGGTATCTAGAGCCATTTGCACATAACAAAATATGTATTTTATCAAAGTAATTGATATAGAAATGAGCAAACCATGATATTTGATGTATTGCAGTATTTTAATATTTTTTTTGGAAGCCGCCCAGAGTGGCTGGGGAAACCCAGCCAGATGGACGGGGTATAAATAATATATTATTATTATTAATTATTATTATTATTATTATTATTATTATTATTATTATTATATTTTAGGGAGCAGGCTAGCAGGCAGGGCCCATTACTTACAACATAGGAGCCTACACAACACAAACACTGTTGCTGTATGTAGGTTTTATTTTATTTGTTTTTTATCTTATATTTTGGAAATGTACATCCAGTTTTTTCCCTTTAATTTTTTGGGGGGCTCCCAAGAGAGTGGGGCCCTAAGCTATAGCTTGTTTAGCTTATACGTAAATCCGTCACTGGCTCTGATTCATTTTAAGACAACTTCCTGTGTTAAGTTTATGCAATGAGGGAGGAAGGTGATGGGTGACAGACATTTAAGGATAGCCTTCCTGATGGTGAGGTATTTTTCACCCATTTTGTTCTGTCTCCTCCTGTCTTTTAAATTAAAGAAACTTGATAACTTGTCTTCACCTTAGGCTTCAAAGCCTTCTTAAAACAGTGAACAGAACTGAAGCATCTGTCTCTTTTGTTAATGATCAGGTTTGCGGATCCCTGACAATGTGAGCACTTTAATAAATAGCGATAGGAAGATGAAGTAGGACAACAGAGTATAGATTCACAAATAGATGAATTAATTGTTTTGCTTGCAGGGTTTTTTGTATTTTTTTAAAAATGTCTAAACATGTGTTTCCTTTTTTCATTTGCTTCATTCACAGTAAAAGCTGCTCTCGGTTGATGTAAGAATTGGTGCATCGTTTCTGTGCCTTGTCATTATACATTAAATATAAATATAAATGTTGTTGTTTAGATGCTTAGTCGTGTCCGACTCTTCGTGATAAATATAAATATAAATATAAATATGTGAGGGGGTGTGCATATGGGTCTTCTGTTTTAAAAGTGGAGCCAGAAAAGGCATGCTAGTGATCCAACCCTAAGCACATTTACTGGGGGGCAAGTAGGGTTTTGATGGGACTTACTTTCAAATGAATATGATCATTTCATAAGGGCATTTTCTTCCTTGGTGTTAATTGAAATAGCAAGCCATGCAGCAACCTGATTTGTTGTGACAGGAGATGCTGTCCTGTTTGCAATGGAAGTCTTGTATCTTGGGGGCCAGACTGAGGCAAGTCAAATGGATAAAGTATCCAAATGTTCAGTACACAGGGCAGTGGGCTCGAGTGCCTTCCAAATCACATTATCTTCTCCCACGTTATCTTCCAGGTGCCCTGTCTGTCCCAGCCTGTTGCAGTCTAAACCCATCTTCTCCAACCTGGTGCTCAGGACTACATCCGCCCCAGCCAGTGTAGGCCATTCCTTGCCATGTAATTGTTATAATAATTTAAGGTCTCAAGTATATAAATTAAATGTTCATAAATTTACAAGGCAAACACATACATAAGTATATAAACCACATGTCTGAAATAGTACAGGAGAGCAATCCTGAAACCATTTTGACTCTCCCAAATTGACCTCAAACGTTTCTCTGCAAGGAGGAAGGAAATGGGAAAGCCTCTCCATTGTCTTTTGCTTACCTGTCTTTAGGGCATCTTTGTGTATGAATAGGGTGAGCCTGTGCCTGGATTCAGGAGTTAAAGTGGTACCTCGGGTTAAGAACGTAATTCGTTCTGGAGGTCCTGAAACTGTTCTCAACCTGAGGTACCACTTTAGCTAATGGGGCCTCCTGCTGCCGCCGCCCTGCCACCGCATGATTTCTGTTCTCATCCTGAGATAAAGTTCTTAACCTGAGGTACTACCAGGTTAGCGGAGTCTGTAACCTGAAGCGTCTGTAACCTGAAGCATCTGTAACCCGAGGTACCACTATATTTACCATCACAAAAGAATGGCCAGGCTGCCCAAGTAAGCAGTCACTGGCCATTGTCAGGTATCCTGGCAGACAGGATTTCTGCTGTAGCCTGCCTCCTTCTGTGATGTATGTATGATGTATTGGGAAGTGGTCTTGAGCTACAGGGTGGCAATTTCAAAAGTCTATATAAGGGCTTGCACACCATTGTTCTGGGTTCCTCCTCCCTCCTGTATGTGGTGAGTGACGACTCTGACAGAACAGTTTATTAAAGATCAGGCTTACTAGCTGCTTTGCTTCTCAATATTCTCTGGTTGGCCTCTGTTATTTTCTCCTACCCATAGGGAACCCACTTAAGGACTCTATACCGGCTCTTGGATACCCCATAAGGGAAAAGAAGCAGATTTTGTTTTCATCACAATATATTTCAATGATCATTTTAGAAATGAAACAAGGGAACTGCAAATGCATTACCTGCAGCCAGGTTGTGGGTGTTGTGTTTGTTCACCAGAGAAGATGGCTTTCTTTGGATGCAGAGTCCATATGGCTTCATCATGCTCGAGGGAGAAGCCATGACTCTGATGCATCTGTGCACACAGAAGGCCCCTGGTTCTGCGATTGCCATCTCCAGTTAAGGGCATCTCAGGGAACTGCAGAGCAACTACCCACTCAGAGGTCACAGTATCGGGCTAGTTGAACACATGGTCTGACATGGCAGAAGGCAGGGAGCCCTGCAGTAGCCACAGCCAGAGTTAATGGCAGGTAGAGCCAAAACCAAGGACAGGCAGAGTTAAATAATTCTCGTTTCCTCTCCATCCTCATCCCTGCTCAGCAACACTGAGACTCAGGCGGCATTGAAACGAGGGAGAAGGAATCTGGCAGGCATTGGACTAACATGAAAATAATAATAATAATAATAATAATAATAATAATAATAATAATAATTTATTTGTACCTTCCCCAGCCACTCTAGGCAGCTTCCAACAAAGATTAAAAATACATTAAAATGTCACACATTAAAAACTTCCCTGAAATGAATATATTGGCGAAATACCATACAGACATGCATTAGATATGAGAATATTGCTTGCCAAAATTCACACCTCAATCAAGACAGCATACAAGAATGTGTTTCTGAGGAGAAATCTGCACTAAAATGCTAACATTTTCATAAATATATACAGTGGTACCTCGGGTTACAGAAGCTTCAGATTACAGACTGCGCTAACCCAGAAATAGTACCTCTGGTTAAGAGCTTTGCTTCAGGATGAGAACATAAATCGCGTGGCAGCGGTGCAGCAGCAGCGGAAGGCCCCATTAGCTAAAGTGGTGCTTCAGGTTAAGAACAGTTTCAGGTTAAGAACGGACCTCCAGAATGAATTAAGTTCTTAACCCGAGGTACCACTGTATATATATATTTACTCCAATTGCTGCAGAAATGCAGAACCAAATTTAAGATTGGGAAAACGAGAAGCTGGTAATCAAAACGGACAGCTCCTTCCACCCCTACTTTCAGATCCAGACTTCTGACTATAGTGACATTAGTTTAGTTCTCACTTGTAATAAAGTGTTCCCTGTGGAGGTATTTCCTTATGAAGGGAGTGAGAGAGATTTGAGCCAGTTACTTATCAGATGACAGTACTCAGCCCAGCTAGGGCTCTTTGTCTAATGGCAGAAAGGCTATTCTCCCTCCGCGCCGCGACTTGGAGCCAATCACCCATTCCAGAAAGGACAGAATGGTTACCTGGGGAGAACAAAGGCCAATCCCTCTGGCACACAGGGGTGTGCGTTTATCCCAGAGGTGTTTAGGACAAGAGATTCTAGTGCACTTTATATAATTCACTCTCACGCGTACTCTTTGAAATGCCAAAAGAACATCTTTTGTCACGAGCTTTCCCTGCTTTGACACATCGTTCTTTTCCGGAGCCTTTCTTCTAAAATTATATTGTAAGGTGACATGGAAAAAGATGTGCCCCCTCATATCTAATGGATGCCAGTTCAGGTTTCAAATAGTGCCCCCCACTCTTCCTGGCTCAGTCACGACATATAGATGCAGAGTCTGATTCCAGCAATTAACTCTTGAACGTAATGGGAAGAGATGTGAATGCCCCATTCTTGTAACCTGCTATTTCGCTCTGCTAATTTATATTCTTACTTTGTTTGCATATTCATTCTGAAAGCATCTGGTGAAGTTTTTGTTGTTTGTTGGGTGGCCTTTTTGTGTGTGTGTCTTTTGAATAATAAGAAAAGACAGAAATCAAATTCAGCAGAATGCAAATTAAAAGCGACAAATGGGATTTGGCATGAAAAGGAAGGAATTAAGGGGATGTTATTTCGCCCTCCCTGTACTTTTTTCTTTCTTTATTTTTTTAAGTGATACATCAGTTTGTGCAAGTCAGAATTAGTCAGTGCAGAGACTTGGTTGTGAAGGTCATCTCACAGAGAATGAAGAGAAAGGACCATACGAATTCACACTTAAATGACTGGGTTTATACAAGTTCTCATATTAAAATACACACACACACACACACACACACACACACACACGAAAGTTTACGAAACAGACACTTCTGCAGGAGTTTGGGATGGGCAGCATCAGCTGAGTCTACAAAACTGCCATATTTCCCTTAGGAAACCAGGAAGCTGCTTTATGCCAGGGATAATCTGTTTTATCTGGGTTTTTAGTTTATCATTGATTTTAGTTCATTTTTTTGAACGTTTTAAATATTTGTTTGTAGCTGATAATTTTATTATTCTGGTAATAATTATAATATTTTATTAACTATATGCCACCCATCTGAATGGTAAAATGCTTTGAAGTTCTATTACAATCAAGGGCTTCCTTTACGATTGATC